TTCATATCTAGGATATAGTTCATCTATGTACGATTTAAATATAAATATCATAGAAAATTATCTAATTATAATATTAAAAAAAAAGTATATTATTGAATTATAGTACTTAAAAGCAAAGTTTAAACTTAGTCAGTTTTGTCGATTTTCCTAACTTCATATCTAGGATATAGTTCATCTATGTATGATTTAAATATAAATATCATAGAAAATTATCTAATTATAATATATAAAAAAAATGTATATTATTGAATTATAGTACTTAAAAGCAAAGTTTAAACTTAGTCAGTGTTGTCAATTTTCCTAACTTCATATCTAGGATATAGTTCATCTATGTATGATTTAAATATATCATAGAAAATTATCTAATTATAATATATAAAAAAAATGTATATTATTGAATTATAGTACTTAAAAGCAAAGTTTAAACTTAGTCAGTTTTGTTGACTTTTCTAACTTCATATCTAGGATATAGTTCATCTATGTATGATTTAAATAAAAATATCATAGAAAATGATCTAATTATAATATATAAAAAAAAAAAATGGATATTATTGAATTATAGTACTTAAAAGCAAAGTTTAAACTTAGTCAGTGTAGTTGATTCTTCTAACTTCATATCTACGATATAGTTCATTTATGTATGGCTGTTTGGTAATTCCTGGAGATCTACAAAAATGTATACAATATAATTTCCTCATCTTGTATTTTCATAATGGTAAAATTTATAATTTACCTAGCTGCTGCGAATTCTTGCAAGGCATCAATTACATTATAATGTAAAACTTCTATCAACCAAGTGATTATTAAGAATCCAGCCTGGTTTAGACCATGGTGACAATGAACACCTAGAAAAAAATAAAGTATCAATAATTTATGATTTGTTAACTGGCAGTTGTTGCTTTTAATATTCCAACTAAATATTAAACTAGATATTTATCCCATCCACCAAGATATTTTCCCAAAAATAAAATATAAATATAACTTACCAATGTGTAGGTTAGGGTTGCTACTAACAAAATCCCGACAAATATCTAAAAATGAATCTACTTCTTTAGAAGTAGGTGGATCTTCATTACCTACTAAAGGTAATTTCACGTAATGACAATTGTTATTGATAACTTCCAACTGATCATAGTAATTATTTGAAGTTGTCAGATCAATCCATAATCTTAAATCAACCTAAAATAATTTGATATATTTACTTAATATAATATAGACTGTACATCATTGGGATAATTTTGATACTCTCAATAATTTTACAATTTAAGAATACAGGAATCTGAAGATAATATAATCAAAGAAATATTTATGTGTTGATACTACAATTATTAAGTAATGAAAATAAAAAATATTTTTTGTCTATTCATACTATATTTAGCATGAACATAGTTAAATCGCCTAAGCAATTATGTGTATTTTTAGAATTTATAAGGGTTCATTTTGATTTTAATAAATATTTTAGTGTACAATTATATGTTATATATATTTTAGTATATTGCTCTTGTGATTTTCATCTGGTTGCCTTTTTCTCTAAATTATTATCAAAAAAAAAAACAAATTAAATTTCTGAATCTATGTGATAGTTATACACAGGCTTCAGTTTGTATTTTTTTAATATAATATGTCCAAAGAATATTAAATATTATTAGAATATTATTTGAACTTATTTATTTTACTTCCTTCAGTTTTAACACTTAATTAAGTTAGATCACTAGTCTGTCTCACATTAGTATAATTGTTTTTCTGTTTTCACCCTTTTTAGGTGCCTAACCAAAAGCTATGGGCATGATGTAGTTATAAAGTTATATTAGATCAGTGAATCAATTTACAAATAATTAAATCTGAATTTCTTTGATGACAAATACATTTGTTTCCATTATTTTTTTAATAAAATATAAATAAATACTTTAATATTATTTTATACCTTTTTTTCAGCCATTGAGGAGAAGAGCATATCTATATTGAATATATGCGACATAGGTACTCTGTACTTACTATCCAATGGTGTTTTAAATGCCAAAAATCTATTAACTATTATTGTAGAATATGGAGTAAAGTCCAACCACCCGATAGGAATCTTGAAATGTTTTGAACCTGTAAATTATTTTTGATTAGTTTATGGAGAATTAAATATGTAAAATATTGTTTATGTCATTTTAAATAAAACTTTTGAAACATATTTTAACTAAAGTAAATTGACTAAGTACCTAAAGCAATGACCTAAAAACTAACTAATTAAAGATTTATAAAAACTTTTTATTTATTACAAATAACATTGTGTTACAATTAATGACAACTTATGGACACTATTTATTTGATACTCATAAAGAGCAGAATGACATGAAACTGAACTTGTGTGTGTATATTATCACCTTCACTATTACTACTGTGAAGTTTAGTAATACCATAAAACATCTCCCTTTTTTTACAAAAACATAAAATTAATCCTTTTTTTTTCATATATATGTATGCCAACTTTGTAAAAAGGAATGTCTAGCACCTCATGACATTTGGCACTTTAACTATATTTTAGACAGAAACTACAAGAATTAATAAAATGTTCAACTTGTATGTTCTCATACTAGGCCAATAAATTACACATATAATGTTGATAAAATTAAAATTAATTTCTTAAATGCAATAATATTTCATTACATTGTTCTTGTCCTAATATTTCTAAGGTCACGACAGTTTAATATTTAGATGTTCATTTCGATGAATTTTTAAAGTGAGATGTACTCATTTCTCAATTAACAAAAACAGTTCTTTATTTTTAAATTTCTAAAAAATATCTTAAATAATAATCTTAAAACTATTGTCTTTAAATCACTCATGCTTTCATTAACTTCTTATGGTAATGCCTATCATTCACACTTTTATAAACTTCAAACTACAATTAATTCATTAGTTAAATTTCTTTTTAATAAGCCCAAGTTTTACTCTACATCTTTACTTTACAATGATTACTAATTTCTTACATAAAATTAAATTATATTTTAAACCTTTGTGCTATTGTCTTTAAATATAAAAACACAATTAATCCTCCATCTCATAATTATAATACTTGTCATAAACAAAATGTCAACACCAACTTTCCTTTTGTTAGAACTATTTTTGTTTAATTAATAACATTAATTTTCATAATTTTTCTTATTTCAAAAAATATCTTTGTTCAATTAATTTTAATGATCTTATAATTTAATAAATTAATAAACTTTTCTATACATTATTTTTTAATGATAGTGAAATATGATAATGTTATATTTATCACTTGTTATGTTTTCTACTATTTTTTTTAATATTACAATATGCACTTTTAATTTATATAATTATGTAGGTACTAGATATTATATTTAACTTAGTTTGATTTTTGTAACTATCTTAAGAATTCACCGTCCAGTCATAAGCTGGTTTTTTTGAAGGGTGTCATACTTGTAAATTCATCAATAAATTATTATGTTTGCTCTTTTGTATGACAATAAACTACATAATATTAATATTTAACAAATATTATTAAAAAAAAATAAAATAAAATAATTGTTTAGCTCTAGTTATAGATTTGTCATTCTTAGATGTGTGATGTGTAGAATGAAGTTTTTCCACAACATATTTTCTTAAAAGTTTTGGTACTAACAGCCTCATTCCATAATATTTAAGTTCTTTCTCTAATATTATCTCATTTTGTAGTTTATAATAATGCTTCAATTCTCCTTGCTGGTTACACTTTTTTGGCCAAAAACTGTACAATTTGACCTAAGACTGAAGTCTTAGCTGTTGCATCGACAAACTCTCTTTATTTTTAAATTGTATAGAAACTTTACACAACTCATGTACTATGTCTTTCAATAAATTATTAGTCTTTCCTTCTCTTTCAGTATAATTTCTACTAAGTAAATCTACTATATACTTTTTTTTGCAAGGACAGTAGTTAACTATAGTATTATATATGACTAATTTAATTCTCATTGGTCTTAACTTGTTGTTTGGTATTTTATTAATTTCGTTTTTCATTGTCGAGATTAATGGTTAATGATCTGTAAATATTGTTATTTCACTTTGGCCTTATATAAACTTATGGAACTTTTCACAAGCAAAAACTATGGCTAGCATCTTCCTCTACCTGTGCATACATTTGCTCTGAGTAATTCAAACATCTTGAAACATAATATACGAGTCTGCTGTTTTGAAAAAGACATTAACCTAGTGCTTTCCCAGACTATCATCTTGCATTGAAAACTTATCATTTATATTGTAATTATTTAACGTAGGTAGTTAATTCAAAATGCTTTTAAGTTTATTAAAGAAATTTTTTTAAATTAAATTTAAATCAATACAAGCTTCATAATTTAGTAATGGCTTACCATTATATTCTACAAATTTAAATACTTTATTACACTTATAATTGCCATTTCTCAGCTCAACTGAAATATTTCCTTTAGATCTCGTCAAATATCTTTCAAATGATTTAATAACAACATTAATATTGTTTAGAGTCACATTTTTAATTCACCATATCATTCAACAGACATAACATTAAGCTCTGCACAAGTATTAAGTTTTATTAAAGTTTTAAATTCATGAATTACATTTTTTCCAATCCATGATCTATTAGTTTTACTCTCTTTATTAGCATTCATAATTTCAAGCGCATCTAAAGAAACATAATTTTCTGTATTATTAATATTTTCTATACAGTTAACTTGTTTTTTACCACTAACATCTTTTTTCTCGTTCTTACACATAATTTTCAATGATTTAACTAACCACAATAACCACAATGTTTTCCATATGCTGAACATATGTTAATCTTATGATCTTTACCACACAGAGTACAATTATTTACAATATAATTAACATTTTTTAAAAGAAGCTTTAATATATTTAAATTTTTTATAACCTGGCGGGTTAGAATTTGCATTCTGTGTTGACTGATTGTTTGAATTTGTTCCAGATTCTGTATTTTCACTTGTATCAATACTGAACAATAAATGAGTATTGATTTCCTGAACGATTCTTCTGTTGTTCTCAGTTTGCTCTTCAGAACGACAATAATCAACCACTTTTTCAAGTGGGAGGTCCTTGCTTAACAAACTAGTTTGGACATTCTTGTTTGAAATACCAAGCACAATTTGAACCTTCAATAAATCCTCTTCACATTGATCAAAACGGCACGTTTTGATCAATTGTTTCAAATCTGTGTAGAAATTATCAAAGGGTTCTTCAGCACCTTGTTTACGTGTAAAAAATTGGTAATGTTCCATAAGTTTGTTTGTTTTGGAAATACAATAAATTTCCAGTGCATTTAAAATTTCACCCACTGTTTCTTTTTTCCCTTCAAGTGTATTGTATACTTTCAAACCATCTGGTCCTAGCATGTTTAATAGGATCTCCACCTGAGTCGCTTCTTTCTTCGTGTGAAATTCAGTTGCATCAAAAAAAATTTGAAGCTCTTGTTTAAACAGTTTAAAGTTTTCAATTAAATTACCAGTCATTTTTAGAGGAGATGGCTTATTGACCTCCATGTTCTTAATTCTTTATCCAGTTTCTCCGTACTTATAATGCACGTACCCTCAACTGCGCAATATTATAAGTTATGTTTTATGTTATTATAAGAGAAACGATTTAAGTTATAATTTATATAATACAAAATAAAAATGAAACTTGGGGAGAATATAAACTCACTATGTGCAAACACAATACTTTTTATTACTTCAATGGTGGTGTACTTAACATAATATTACTTTAGAGTAATCAATATTACAAAATAAGCAGTGTTACCACTGCAATAGAAAAGATAGGGTGACTTGCACATATTTGTGGGGGACGCGTATAAAGTACGAACATATTTCAATAGAATGATATTGTATCAGAAAAGTAAAACTGTCGAAAAATAAATTATCCGAAAAACATTTACATCAAACCGTGTTTGTGCAGAAAAATATTTTGGTCGAAAACATTTCATGAGAAAATATATTATCAGAAAAATATTAGGTACTTACAAAAATATTTTGTTGGAACCGTATTTCTGTAGAAAATACCTATATAAGTGATAACACTATTATCTTATATCGTCATAAACAAATACTATAGATTAGAATACGGGAAGAAGAAATGGGGAATGGATCCCCATTTTCTAGGGAATACTGTAGCGCTCAGTATTATACCAGGTTGCCTTTATAAACCCTATTCTTTTTTTTTTAGACACTGATACGATAACTAATATTTTATTTTAATATTATACAAATACACAATACACTGGTTCTGGTAAATAATATTACCTATATACAAATTAGAAACTTCTCACTTACAACAGTGGCCGCTCCCATATCTAGTATCAGCTCCGTTTTTGTTTATTTTGTTTTTGTGTTTTCCATAATTAGAGAAATTAATATAATTTTTTTAAAAAAAAATTTTAAAAATACAATCAATTGATAATATAAACTCCTTATTGCTCATTGATACTCATTGATTAGTTTATAAATATAGGTATTTATTATTATATACTCATATTTACACATTTATTATGTTTATTTTATTTATAATAAAATATTTACCAAATTTTACGTGAATTTATTGAAAATGTTTACTGGTAAATTCCATATCTTTAATCATTACTATGTATTTTATATGGAACGCGTGGGATGGTACATATAATATTAGTTTTTTTATCAAAATGCATTTTCATTAAAATTTGAACTTTGAAGGCATATAAAATAAACTACTATATTACAATTAACTTTCTATTATTTCTTCTCAAACACTAGTTTTATTTTTAACAAAAGTGACTATATTTAATTTAAATATACATCTAACATTTTTTGCAAATTCCAATGTGTTTTTAAGTGGATATAAGAAATTGGCATTTTGATACGATTTCTAGTCTATATGTGTATTTTCCAGGTTGATTTAAGAATTATCCTCAGTTTTGGCAGCCAGCTTATCTACACATTCTTGATAAATCAGTTATATTTCATATATCATCATCATCATGGGTATCAGTTTACTATATACCTATTCAGCTATATAGCTTATTGCACAAGCCTCATGATTTTCAATATTTGTTGAAGATAAATATAAGTTAAGAAAGTCTTCTTTATCAGAATATTCAAAATCATTTCAATCACCTATTACTTTCAACTGTATTTTAATTTTTTTTAGCTCACTGCATTTAGTCAAGAATTGAACTGCATCGCATTCAGATTTACAATTTTCATTTTTGGACGGTTCTAATAAAGTATTGCACATGGACGTACGGATTTCTGAGTAAAATTTTGTAGCATCAGGCGTGACATTATTATCTTCTTTTGTTCTTACTATTGGAAACACATTTTCTATACAGTTTTGTGTTAGTTAAAATTAAAAATTCTTTAAAAGCTCAAAAAAGGCTTAAAATTTTTGGCTATGATAACATAAGAAAGGAAATCTAAAAGGTTTCTTGTGATTTTTCAATTAAATAATTTTTTCTGGTAGAAAACGTCGTCCATATTTTTATAAAATAATGAAATTGTGAAATTATACGTTTTCCTATGTTTTTTTTCCCATTTATGTGCATTTATTTAAAAAATGGCGTCGAAAATCAAAAAATACCCTATATAAAGTACAATCTAGATAACTTGAGATTTCAGAAAAGTTGCTACACGTAAAAATCATAGTAAGTTTACTAGGAAAATACGTGTCCATAGACTAGGACAAAGAAAGAAATAAAAGAAATAACAGCATTGTAAAACCAATAGCTCCCTTGTTACGCTCGGAATCTAAAGTTGTATAATTAATATATTTAAATATTTCCTTTTTTGAAAACACATTAAACGCAATGCTCGAAATTTATTAACTTATATTAACTTTTGCATCCAGTCCGGTTCGTTAAAATTAGAATTTTAGAGTTCCGGTTCGTACAAATATTAACTTCGTAAGTTTATATTGAAGAAATTAAGACAATTGCCACTCGGTAACATGTTTCCGACAATATCATAGTTAAAATTAAATTTATTAAACTATTAAATTAAAATGATTAATAATAATTTGTATAATAATAGGTATTAGTCAAAGGTAGACATTCTGTTGATGTTGTCATCAACATTTGCGACTGGTATTGTACTAGTCGCAAAACGCGAAAATAAAATTGACAAAAAATATGAAACTTTGTGGAAATTATTGTAATCAATTTTTTTTATTTAATTGTTAAAAGTGCAGTTTTTTTTATTATTGAACATCATATGGCATATTAGTTTTGTAAGCGTTCAAGTTCGTGAAATTTTCCAAACTTTAATCTGGTAAAATAATTTTTGTTTTAGGTCTATTCGATTCTGATTAGGTACTGTTAATTATTGGAAATATGAACACATATTTTTATTACGTTGCTGCGTTGTTGTCCGTTAGTGTTCAAAGAGACTAAAGAGAGAGTGAGAGAGTGTATATTAGACAGAGGCGAGAAAAATATTATCTCGACGCCTTCATAATACTTAATATTTTCATAATACGTTCACACAAGCGGGGCGGCGGTCAATTGCCACATTATATTAGGTTAGTATTTAAAGTGACCCCCTAAAAAGAAATGGAGAATTCGTGGTTTAAAACAAAAAATTTAAATCGAAGAAGATAACATTTATCGCCGTTGATAATACAATGAATAATTTCGTGGCATACAGAAGGATTGAAATAGGTAAAAATTAGCGTATTTCAGATAACCGACTGTATTTTTAGATTTTGTTTTCTCTTCTTTTACCAAATTGTATTGCACCTGCTAGACCAGAAGGAGAAAATTAGTGAAATTTTAAAATCGCCGATGGATAAAATTTAATTAATTATTTCTTAGTATGTCCTAGGGGTCAAATGAGGCAACTGACAAAGAGATTCCCCACATGGTATTTTTAACTTTTCAATAGGTTATAATATAATATATCATGTTATAAAAAAATAAATAATAATACATTTTAAACATTTAAAAAACCCATGTATTATCCCCCTGGCCTCTTGTGAAAAAATCAAAAAATTAAAAAAATCAAAAACCCAAGCTATAGATATATATCGAATATATATTATATAATAAAATAATTAAGAACAAATAAAATTATTAAAATGGTTAATACTCGTAAATAAATATTAATAAATAAAAAATGTATATATAAAAAGAAAAGAAATAAATTAATGAATGCGTCGCCTGAAATATTATGATGAGTGTATTATATGACCGGTTTTGAATTAAAAATTCATCATCAGGTATAATACAGTCAAAATTTAAAACGCGACTGAATATAAAAAATTAAATGAAGGAATACATAGAAAAAAAAATTATACAAGTTGGTCGTTGTACATAGAATATATAAATAATTCATTTTAAATAATCTCTCCTATTAAAATGTTTTATTTATATATTTATTTATTATATTTATTTACTTTATATATTGTTTATTCAATAAATTTGATTCATGAAATATTTCTGAGGCTGCTTGCGAATTCCGTCCCAAATGTAAAATTTGTACTTAAGGATATACTAGTTACGTCCCGCGTTTTTAAAATGAATATACTAATTCCGTCCCATGTAATTTATTTCGTTATACGAGTTCCGTCCCTTTTTGCATTTTTTACACTATATTAATATATAGTATACAATTTACGACTACGATAACATTTTTTTATTATTTATAAATAAAGATAATTTATATACATTTTTATTCATATTTAAATTTATCAAAATGCTTTATATGACGGTCATATTTGTTCACATATTTTAAATGGAGTTTTGCTCCGTATAATAATAACTAAATTAATAAATATATTGCTTTCAGTTATCGCACTAAATAATTGAATTTAATATACCGTATTATTTAGAAATAAACATAGGTAGGTAATACTATTTAATTTTTAAACTTTCCAGTTATTATTTATGCGCCTCCGTGTCTGGATTTATTATTCTTTATTATACAGTATATATTGTAATATTTAAGCTAATCTTCTTTCTATTAGGGACGGAATTTGTATGTACTTATTTTTTCACCCGGGACGGAATTGGTATAGAAAATATCTTTGGGACGGAACTCAGATGCAGCCATTTCTGAATTTTCGTAAGTATTTGTTTAGTCGTTTTCATATTTATACGCAAAGTTTTTTTGTAGCCATGTAAGTTTAATCAAATTACGCGGTGTTCACTTTATAATATGGATTTTGGTACTATACCTAACGAGTAACCACTTATATATATAAATAGGTATACGACTTAACCTTGTACAGTACATCGGTTACTCGTATTATATAGGTTGGGTGGTAATTATTTAGGTACACATAGGTCATCTCATTATTAACGACAGATATGAAGTACATAGGTATGTGCAGAGGTACCTAATAATGTAATATCGTTCAGATTTTACATCATCTGTTTTAAATGGGAGCCCATCTATAGTTCATAACAATCATAAATAAATCGTAGAAAATGTTTCGCAATAATCCATCAATGAGAATTTAAAAACCGAATAAAAAAAAAAAAAAAAAAAAACAATTGCATTCAATAAATCAAACTTTTCCTATATGCATTTCAAAATCAATTACTGAATAAATAGTTGTAGTTGAGGAGAGGTGTATATCCCTGCAGGGCCGTCTTGAAAATTTACGGGGATCGGGGCAAAGACGAATTTCGGAGCTAAAAATTGCATAACATTGTGCATGTATACAATATTGTATGTACAATTAATAATTGAACTTGAAACTAATTTGATACATATTTTTCTTACTTGCTGGTTTCTCCAACCGTGGTGAAATTTCAGGGTCTGTAGCGATTCGTTCACCTTTAAACCATGTGCATAGGAAATGTATTAGTTTTACTAGAATAGCAGTTTCAACATAATTAATAATATTAAAATCAAAAGATTTTGTGACTCCCTTCTCTACCACAAGGTCAAATTAAAGGGGTAGGTAATTTTTGTTACATATATTTGAACATTGTATTGTATATTAATAATTAACACTGCAAATTAATTAATAAACTATGTTGTTTATATTTCAATTTTTTTAAATTGTTCGTATCTGTGAGCAAATTTTCTATCGGAAATCATACTTCATCAAAAACATTATATAACATTTTTGATCCAGTTGGAGCATGAGTTAGTCATATTTCGATTTTCCTTGTAGATTGTAGTTCTCTTAATAGATGGATAAAAAATATAAATTTGTTTTGTATAATTTTCGTTGATTGCCTTGGCAACATAAAGGGAAAAAAATAATATTTTGTTTAGAATTATTTTTTGTGAGCAATGGTTTATCGTTGCGTAGACATATTTATTAGATTACTATACATATTATCCTTCCTTCCAATTTAACCCAACTTAAAACAGTGGCTCATTAACAGAATCAGCCTTTTTCAATTATTTTTATTTTGGTAAAGGTTTTAACTTTAAAACAACAATATCTTATATCTTTTTGCAAACGATCGCCTTTATGCCAACCGTTATTTTTGATCTGATTAATAAATTGAATATTCTTATGGGAACCTAATTGATACAGAAAATTAATTTGGTCAGTCTCAGTAAGTATACGAAAATTTCAGAATTATTTGTCAAATAATTTAACGTTTTATGTATCAATGTATGCATTTTTATTTTAAACAAAAAAATTACAAACTATGTTTTGAAATAGGATTTGTTAACATTATATGACAAGTAACTTTAATATTTTTATTTTAATTAAATCATAAACTTTTTTACTTTTTATGAAACAAATTAAAAACTGCCGATCGTTATATATATATTTTTTTTTATTGAATTACTCGGAATATTGTCATAGATTGATAATATCGGATGTGGGTTAGATGAGTTTAACAGAAATATCTCACCGGAAATAAACGTCATTACACTCGTATAGTACGCATAATAAGTAATGCTTATAATGCGAACTGATAAATGCATAATAGGGGTTTTTAACAGGATCGTAAATGTTAGGTCATCAAACTTTTGGTTTATCATTAGTAACAATTTTTTTTTTTGATTTATTGGATGTGAAATTTATGCCGAAGTAAATTATATGCATGCAGTTGGAAAAATAAAAGAAGACGAACTATGATACACAAAATAGCTTCTCTTGTAATTATTGAATTCAATAACCTAACCGGCGGAGGGCTTTTGTAATGTGTATTTTTTTTCTGTACAACTTTATAATTTCTTCGCCATACTCTTAGTTTAAAATTCGGTATTTTTGGAATTTTAAAATAATATAATTTAGCCATATAGGTACAATGTAATTAATAAATGAATTCAATTTCATAGTAGAAAATACAATATTATATTATTGTTTTATTTTTAAATACAATTTCATATAAAACTATAAAAGGTAACATTTACAAATTTGTGTCGGTAACTGCAAGTATATAATATAAAATTCGATCGGCTTATATTGTATTATAAGTAATAAGGAACTCGAAACTAATAATGTAAGTATGTGAAATGATTTTCGTAAGAAAGAATAAAATAAATTCGAAACATAGCGCAAACCCGCGTTATAACATATAGGAATAATACAATCTATAATCGAGATCATATTATTATATCAAATGGATTAAATATTTCGTGTTAATGTAGTATAATATATCTAATAGTTTAGATAGTATATGGTATAGGCGAACAAAATGATATAATCGTGTTTTGGGCTTTAGCGATAGTTTCGCATAAAAAAAAAAAAAAATAAAAAATTGAAAATAGATTATCGGAAAATATTGGGATACCTACTGTGGTTATAAACAAATATATATATATATTTATAATATTTATTAACAAATTAGTCAAATATAAAATAATTTAAGCCGATTTTAAACACGTTCAGTGGGCAGTGAAACAAACAATGTTCGTATACTATAATATAATACAGCCACTCGAATTTATTGTGATTTCCGATTCGAAACAAATTTATTTGTATACCTGTATAATATTATCGCCTAGAGATAGTTTTAAAGTATAGGTAAGGTAAATTATATGTATATAAATAGTATATTAATGATTTAAATAAATGCGTATATTATGTCGACGGCGCGTCTGCAATTGTGTATTAGTATCCACCGTTCTTGGGCTGGGGCGCGGCGTACGATCCTTTAACGCCGCCGGCGCTCGGGTAACCCGGTGCCGCGGCGGGATAACTCGGGGCGGCCGCGGCGGGATAACTCGGGGCGGCCGCGGAAGGGAAACCGGGCGCCGAAGACGGGTAACCGGGCGCGGACGACGGATAACCGCCGGGGGCCGCGGCGGACGGGAAGCCCGGGGCCGACGACGGGTAGCTGGACGACGCCGGCGCGTAACTCCCCGGACCGGCCGGGTTGTTGGGTTGCGGTTTGGCTTCGCCCTCGTAGTTGACCTTGGCGTTGAAACCGTTTTCGTCGGCCGTGTATGTCACCACTTGGTTGCGGCCGTCCGGCAACAGAACGCTGTACTCGCCGGTCACTGTTTTGCCGTCGCTGTTGGCTTCGTGTTTGAAGTCCGTGTTGGTGGGCGCGTCCTTCACTTGATAGGCGAAGTTGAACGGTTCGGGCTGTAAATAATAAAAATTATAATATCGCCCACGGGCTAGGTCCACGCGTTTTCGAAGATTACACGCAGTATTTGTATAGGCCCGGGCTGTGTAAGACAACGCCGCATACTAATGCGCTACTGATAGCCCCTACCCCCCTTCCCCTTCCGACACCTTAAAATTTGACATAATATCTAAAATGATCTGACTGGGTTACATTAGTTGATTTTCGCGGGATAACAGGACGGAGATTCGCAATGAGTTACAAAATTAAAAATTGCAATTGCGCCAATGCGTATAAAATGCAATTATTTCGACTTTGTTTGTTGTTTTCGACGCTATTCTGTAATTTTACTGGGTAAACAGGACTGGCAGGAACAATTGCATCGTCATAAATCATAATACTGTACCCGTAATTATGATAATGCACAGTGTGAAGACTCGGAAATTATGAGAATGAATAAACTAGAGAGCGTTCAAAATGATGTGGCCTTGTTCATTACTCTAGTTTCTGCAAAATAACGTTGGACCGATTTACGAAACTATACTTACATCAGAAAAAAAAAAAAAAAAGTTCAGAAACATAACGTAGGAACTAATTTTACAAAAAGAAACATTTTAAAGTATAAAATGAAACAATACAAGTTTTCGTATTGATTTCAAACGTTCGGATCCAATTAGCTTATAAATTATAATCTACTGAAAGCCGGGACACAATACTGGTATGACACCCAAAATCTATTGGGACCCAACTAGTGTTCTACTTATCAGAACCACTATGATCCGGGATCCATCTCGGATGCACGCATTATAAACCGAGCCTGCGAACTATGTTGAGGGCTAAATGATTCAACGGTTAGGTCACGCATAATGATAAAAGTTGAGGACGGGATAGTTAAGGTGATTGCGTAAACAGTAATTGTCTGTTAACAGTAATTCCGTTGTTCGTATAGTGGATACCCCCCGCATCAATATTTTGTACCCAATACTTGCATATTGTCCAAAACGAAACGTTATTCGCGGAATTTTCGTTAACATATAAAATGATTATTATTCCAAAAATTATACGGTTCGTGAAAAATCGTATACGCACTTCTGAGTTTCCATCCGATCCTCCTGCAGTAGGCGGTGCAACGGGATTTTGGCCTTTGTGTCCATAATCTCCCGACGGCACGCTTGTGCCCGTACCGCCGTATCCTGGATTACTGTTGCCGACGGGACTTCCATATTGGGCGCTGGCGAATGACGTCAAGAACACGCTCAAAATTAAAACGATAGCTACCTAAAATATAGAAAATACGATTATAATAGATAACTGCAATGTCGTCGTGACAGTTTTTTACTCTGTATAAAGTAGTTTCGGTAAAACCGCAAATAACCAACTAATACAGCCCAAGCCCAGAATAATCAGAAAACAACTGTAGACGGTTTCTGACGTCCCTGTACTTCACCTTTTCTGTAAATTGCACATACCTAATGATAAGATGTCTCACAACTATACGCCCACCCAAAAAATGTGGTCATTGTAGTGAATAATATTCGGTAAAGTGTTTGAAAAAAATAATAAACGCTTAGTTCATTACATTTTTAAACCTATATACACACACGTACACGAAAATAAAACCGCGTTTTCACGAAACAATTATTTGCACATTTTATTGAAAAAATGTTTGAATTAAAACTAATTTATATCATAGTTTTGAGAAATTTTCACAAAGAGTATACATCATCATCATCATCATCATTATCATCAGGTATATTTTATTTCGTTTCGTATTTTATATTATTTATATTATACAATGCGCATTTCAGGAAGTACTCGTACGTCTAAAAATAATTGGGGAAAATAGGAAACTTAATACTGAGAGTCAAGTGAATAGTAAAAATGAATATAAATTATCAGTTGGTACTCGTCTATTGTTTGTGCTAGTGCAGAAAAAACTTATGTATTATTGTATGTGAATTACAATGCTGTACCTATACGTGTTTTAAGGACAAAAATCTTCAGAGGTCATTACTGGTTTTGTGTAAAATATTATTGAGATGTACAAAATCGTGTTATACAGTCATAATAATATTACTTTATTAATACTTCGATTAAAATCGAATGATTGAATTAAACACCCAATACATCATATTTACAAAAAAGTATTTTTTTTTTTTTTTTCTTAGAATATCGAAACATGTAGAATTAAATATCAAATTAATAAAATTAATAAAAAAATAATACTTTTCACGAGCTTTACAATGTTTAGTACAAACATTTATTTTGGTAATTTTAATGATGAGTAATAGACGGAAGTAACCAAGGAAAAAGTACATGAAACAATTAACAAATAGACTTGGATCCGGAGTAAAAGAAATTAAACTAGACAAGGTAAGGATGGCAAACTACCGTGAATTGATTAAGCGATCGAAGACGAGAAGAAGAAAAAGAAGAAGAAGAAGAATATTGGCATAATATAATATTTATATTTAAATAATTTGTTAATTTAAAATATTATCCAAAATCAATAATATAATAATTTATTTTAAACCATACGAGTTGATTTTTTTTATCAAAATTACAAATTAGTAATGAAAAAACATAGATTAGTGAAGCATTTATTAACCTAAAATTGTATTACGTTGGAAAAATCATAAGAATTAATTTGTTATCAGTTTTAGACAAATTTAATTTTAATTTTCTAGTGATTATGATTTATGACAATGTTATTATTTTTATTTAGAACAAATCTGAAGTAAACTCTCAACAATCTATTACAAAAAAAAAAAAGAACATTTAAATATGTAGTTCGCTATTTAAATTAATTACTATAAGGCAAGCTGATCTATTTATAGAAATAATATTAATTTTATCGGATCTACAGAACGTTTTTATACGTTTTATAACTATAATTAATGATTTCGTTAAAATAATTAAAATTTTTAAATACGAAATAATACATAATCTAAAAAATAATATTATGTCTATATTGTGTTTGATGAAAAACCCATTTTTCGATAGATCGGGATAAATCTATCACCGCCGAAAACCGGGTGGGCTACGTATTAATGAGAAATATTATGGGGATTACAGTCAAATTTTAAGTTAAATTATTTAAGAATAGTAAAACAAAGATTTGATACTGGTCGGTTGTGTCACTGTTGTAGGTGGAAAGTTAGGAAGATAGGATACATAAAGTTAATTAATTTGTATTTATACGTTACGATAAATTATTTGCTAATAATTATTACTATGATTCTCAGCGAAGTTCAGGTAAACATATGTTTTTGAAATGCCGAGATTTTCACGATTAAAATTTAATTCAAAATTTGAAAAGTATCAAAAAAGATGTTGTCTTTTTATTTTTCTTGTAGTTTTTTTTTTAATTGAGGGAAACCGGGAAGAAACACGAAAAACGGAAAAGTTTACGTAATGGTTTTATTTTTTTTGTTTTTTTGCTGTGACTGGGTAAAAAATAATTGTAGAAATCTGACATTTTCATAGAATACTTTAATTAGCCTTTTCTAGATGTGGAATAATTTTCAAAATATTCTGTTGAGTTGTTTTGAGCAACTATTTGGTATATAAAATTTTCTAATTGTTTTATTTTTTCTTTGGTAAGAATTATGCGGATAAAATTGTTTAACTAAATAGAACTGCTTAAAAACTAAACATCAGGCTAGTATGAAATTCTAACTATAGTGTTAATAAAAAAAAGTAGTTTTTATACGTGTTTTAAGATTAAATCATGAAGTTACATGGTAATACATAGCATTTCAAATCATGTATAGCTGAAATTCTCTCTGAATGGTTTTTCATTAGCAATGGTTTATCATTGAGTATAGATATATTGCGTAGGATTTTATTATTTTAAATTTGTACGCTTTATGTTTTCTACCAGAAATATTGCTCCAATCAAAAAATAACAAGCAATTTTTTTTTTTGAATTTTTAATCTAGTTTGCGAGTACAAAAATAATTTTTTGATTTTCTTTGCAATTTTTTAAATACTCGTAGTTGAGTAAAACCGAACCAAATATAAAAAGAACTAGAAAGTTTACTTAAATAATGGATTTGTTATTTTCAATTTTGTTTTTTGATTATAACTCAGTTAGACATATTCGTAGTAATTAGAAATTTTATCAGAAAGCTTATATTTGCCTTTTCTAGAGATGATAAAATTTTCAAAATATTTTAATGATTTTTGAGTTGTTTATAGACATTATATGTTTTGAGTTTTGTACGTCATTTTTTTATTTGATGGATAACTTTTTTTTACGTATTACAGTATTACATTATATAAACTATACATAATACATATACCCGCAATGGCTAATATTATAATATACTTAATTGATTAAGTATTATACTTAGTATACAGTATACAATATGATGTTACTGAAGTATCGAATCTAGTTTCCGCGCAGTGTAATAGATAATCTTACGAATTTATTTAATTTTCAAATAATTATTTCGATACTAGTGATTTTAAATAATATTAGAACTGTGCAAAATGTTAACGATATTTTTTTCTACGCAAAACAGACAATTATTTTAGATAAAAAATAACCAAATTATTATACGTTACTACACGAGAAATTTTAATCGTATAATATTATAATTATATACATACTATACGCATACAATAATAATCAATGGTATATATTAGACAAGGTAGGTAATACAAATAATTAACTTTATTTTGTTAAATTAAAAAAAAAAAACAAATAAAATAAAAATCGACATTAAGTTAAAAATTAAAATGCGAAAAAATGTTAACTTTAATTAAGTCGGTTGAATTTGTTTTGTTTGCTACGAGAAATCACCATTTAAAGTGTATTCCATAAAAAATAATATATATTTACGCAGGTTTTTAAATTTTTTTCTAAAAAAATAGTCTCATTCGAATTAAATAGTATATTGAAATCCATAAAGAAAACTATGAGAACGCGGTCAATTTAAATTGAATTTTGAAAATGAAAATAAATATAAAATGTAACAGAATACACAAACTAGTTAAATTCATATAGTTAACGATAAAAATAATTACACAATTGAGTTAAAAAATTAAACTTTTAAATATTATTTAATGCGCGCCATTGATAATATATTATCATGATATAGGTAGGTAGCGTTGTGGCGCGAACGCCGTTAAAACTTTAAGTTTTTTTTCTCGTTAACGTTCACGCGGAGAAAAATGATTATTAGTGGACAATTTCCCTACGAAAATAGATATTCCCCCTACGATTTAGAGTGGAAATATTACGATAATTTTTGCTTACTTTTTGTTGGCTCATCGTGACGGCGTGGTTATTATGTTTGGACGTTGAACGCGTTTACGAGAGCGCAATTGATAATGTCGTGCGTACAAGACGGACAACGAAAAAGCGCGAGGGGGAGGGGAATAAAAACGGACGGTTATGTTAAGTTTTACGAACGGGGAGACGACCGTTATAATGGTATAGCGTTTCGATAAGACAAAAGACCGTTGCAGTTGTATTACAAATTTATATGTATAAATTATGTTGCAAAAGGTTTTACTCGCTCGACGGCACTAGAGCGAATGATTTACTCCGAACGCGCCGGGGATGTCTTATATACCGACTCGTGTACCTACCTACACCTATTTGCGTCCTATCCACCTACCTGCACGCCGGTCGTCCCGACTCGAAACGCAATCTCGAAATTATTAGCATAGTACGACGCAAGAATTCCAGATTGTGTATATTATTATTATTATTATTACACGGTGCAGGTAAAACCGACCGAGATGGCACACCGGGTTAGACCATCATCTCGTCTATATAATCAGCCCCGTTCGTCGCCGCCGTCATCCGATTCCGATTTACCTCGTGCCTCCATGCATATATATATATATATATAATAATATGATGTAATACACGCTATAGTGTTATTATTATTATTATTATATTCTACTCTTGCCATACTCGATACTAAACTGAGGTCGAATGTCACGTTACCGGAGGCGGTTTCGTGATCTTCCTATAACAGTACACACAACGACCGCAATCACACCGACGACGACGGCGACGACGACTGCACCGACGACGACGACGACGATTGCGGATTATTTATCGCAACGGAAACACTATACGCGATCTGATGCCAGCGAGATGTTACGTCGTCGTCGTATATTTACTGGATACTCGCACAGTAAAATTACACGTGTATATAGTACATTATATATTATAGGTACTTCGTGAATCATGATTTGTATTAAATTAAAAAAAAAAAAAAAAAAAA